AATCATAACAGATTAGCAGTACAGAGTTTTCCCTTTGGTGCCCATTTGGCGATATGTATGTATGTAAGGCCATACCTGAAAAAGATGCAATATTGTAATTGACTTTCTGGAGAAGAGAATATAACAGATTAGTAGTACAGAGTTTCGCTCATCCGACCCAATTGCCATTATGTATGTATATAGCCCCTGAGGCCCCTAAGCCCGTAAGGCCATACCTGAAAAAGATGCAATTTTGCATTTGAGAAGTAAACCTACTCAGGGTGCCCGAGTGCCCGGTGATCGGGTTGGGACCACTTGGGTCCGTTCCCGGCCCCCACCTCAGGTTTTCGACCCATGGTACGACCCTCCCGACATTATCACACCTTTAGGCTCTGGGGGGTATGACGTGGCGCGCTGTGATTCGCCCAAATTTAACACCGAACTTCATTTGGCTTGCTGGCGAACTTCCGTGCAAGTTGGGTGCCCCGTTCATAGGGATGTCCTGACTGATGTCATACTTGACCTAAAGGCTTTAAAACGCAGAACACCTTGGTTCTTGCTAGATAGGATCTTGCGGTCAGATAGGCTCGGGGGGGGCGCACAGAAGTGCCCATCGTTGCGGCTTGCGGAATCAGCGACGCCTGGGCGGAGGAAGGATTTTGCTGCCAGGGGTTCCTGCAGAAGTTTGCTGAACCTGCACAAATTGGGGTCTGACGAAAATAATAAGCAGCCAACCATGGCCTCTCGTTTCTGGACGAACGCGGTGAGTTTTCCAGCTTGCATCTGGGGCTTGCATCTGTCAAGCACGGGCGTGAAAAGAGTGGCCGAATTGTTGAGATGCAACGAACACGAAAGTGCTAGAAGCTGTGGCAAAGATGCGGACATTCACATTGAACGAATTGAGGTCAACCGCATTGCTGAAAGTGTTAACTTTCCACTATAGTCACCTCGTGAAGTGCAAATGCCAATTGGTCTGCCATTGTTGATGGGGATGGGCTGATTGCTTGGACGGGTGTTCTTGTAACACGGTCATGCCCTCTTCCAAGCACCACCAGTGACCGTTGCATCGCGGTTGCAGCAAGCCAGATGTGAAAATTTGAAAGTCCTGACTGCATTTTGTTTGCTTACGCCGGTTGTATTGAGGTTCTTTGCCTACTGTGGCGCATTGTAAATGATGGGATCCTAGCTGGCTTCTAGATTGCCCTCCTCCCCTTGTTTAGGCGCCTTTGATTGGTCTATGAATTGCCGGCAGAACACTGCACTGCCTATGATTCTGACATGATAAGGGTTGGGTCATGGAAACAACAGGAGGTCGCGCAGAAGAGTGTTGGTTTGTTTGCGAGAGCACTTTTGATCTTCTCTGGTAATGGTCTAGGCAGCATTTGTGGTGATTTGCTGTGGCTAACTCTGGCCAATCCCATTTGCTCGTGCAGAGCGACACGGAGTCAGAGGAGGAGGAGTCTGATGTGGAGTCAGAGTCTGAGGAGGAGGAGCAGGCCCCCGCTCCAGCTGGGCCTGCCTCCAAATACATGCGCGGAGGGGACAGTGACTCTGATTCCGATGACGATGGCAAGCGTGTGGTGCGTAGCGCCCGGGACAAGAGATTTGACGAGCTGCAGCAGACGTACGACCAGATGAAGAACCAGATGAAGATCAATGACTGGGTGTCGTTACAGAGCAGCTTTGAGAAGCTGAATAAGCAGCTGGAGAAGGTGGCCCGCCTCACAGAAGGGGAGCCAACGCCCCGGCTTTACATCAAGGCAGTGTCAGAGCTTGAGGACTTCTTGGTAAGAGAGGGCCCAACCTGCAATACAGCGCTCTAATGTGACCTCTGCAGTGCGTGCTTTTTCAAGTGGTGTTTAAAGAAAGGTTGGGGTTGAGCCTGGGTAATCGAATTGATTGCCTCCTCCAGATCGTGCAAAATGATCCTTTGCAACAGCTTTCGGTTGTGAGGGGCACGTTGTTAAGAGTGTGCGAAGGTGTGCAGATTATGTCAAGGACTTGTTGCCACTGTGAAGCTTAGCCAGGGGTTTCCGCTGGCTTTTTCTAGTGTCGCTCGTAGTCGTGTGTGTTTTGAGCAGCTCTCCTATTTCGTCATGCTACGACGCATGCTTGCTTGCTGGTTGACCGGGTCCTCCCTGGCTGATGCAGAACTCGACGTTGGCCAACAAGGACGCCCGCCAGAAGATGAGCCCCAGCAATGCGCGCTCACTGAACTACATGAAGCAAAAGTTGAAGAAGAACAACAAGCTGTACGAGGAGGAGATTGCAAAGTTCAAGGAAAACCCAGAGTCGGAGGAAGAGAAGGAGGAGGTGCGTGCCAGATCCCACAACGGTCTGGGTTCTTTGCACCACCGGAGTCTCTGGTACCAGCCCTTCATGTTCCAAATTTTTGGAACATGTGTGGAACAGTGGTGCATGTGCTTGCGTGTAGGTGCTGTGGAAGTTTGCAATGTCCCAAGAGTTTATGCTTCGGGCCTCTGCCTTCCAAGAATTTTCTGGAAAGCATGGCTTGAATCTGATCCGCTGCTTGTTGCATTTGCTTCAGGAGAGTGAGGAGGAGAGCGATGAGGAGGAGGGCAGTGAGGAGGAGCCAGACAAGGCCGCCCCAGAGTCTGAGGAGGAGAGTGGAGGTGGGTGCCATTTCAAGCAGGTGCTATCAGCATGTGATGTCTGTTGGAAGTCTGCGTTGCCATGACGAGTTCCTTGCAACATAAGCTGACCACATCATATTGAACGAACTTCGCAGGTTGCTGGGTACCTCAGCTGTATGGATTGATCTGAATGTGACGCTTCTGTGCAGGTGACGGTGATGAGGGGGGCTGGGAGAAGACGCGGAGCAAGGCGGAGAAGCGGAGGGACCGCGAGTTCAACAAGGACCCCAGCGAGATCACAGAGGAGATGGTGGAGAGGAAGCTCAAGGAGATTATTGCAGCCAGGGGCCGCAAGGGCACCGACAGGGCAGAGCAGGTAAGAGGGCCGCATCTTGCGAGAGTAGGTTGTAGAGAGTAGATTGTAGATTGTAGAGAGTAGACTGTAGTCCTGCTGATGGACCAAGGCTCAGGTTTTTATCTGGCACTGAGACTAGGAGGGAGCATAGGGAGAAGCTTAAAATCTTATTGAGGAACATACATGCAGTTTTTGGCTTGAACAGTTCTTGGATCTACCGCTTGTTTCAAAGCGACCACTGGGTCGGGCTGACCTTCACGGCCTCATTTGCAGAGTTGATCTAAGATGTATGTGTCAGTGTAAGATGTGCCACTGAAAAGACCTGTTTGAATGTGCACTTGCCTCTTCAGGGGAAGCTCGGTCAACCATATCTTCAAAGGCAGAGACAGCGAAGCGCCAATTCTTTTGAGGACCGCTTGTGGGTGTGACACACTCCCTGCTGCTGACGGCGCGGTGACGCTGCCTTTGCAGGTGGAGCAGCTGGCGTACCTGGCGCGCGTGGCCAAGACGCCCGCACAGAAGCTGGAGGTGATGGTGCACGTCGTGTCGGCGCAGTTTGATGTGACGCCCAGCCTGAGCAGCCACATGGCCATCCCCATCTGGAAGCGGTGCGTGAGCAACGTGCTGGCCATCCTGGATATTTTGGAGCACCACCCCAACATCATCATGGACGAGAGCGCGGAGCCCAACCTGGACGCCACCGCGGGGCCCGCGGAGAACGAGGCCGGGGAGATCAAGGTGTGGGGCAACATCGTGGCGTTCCTGGAGAGGATCGACGACGAGCTGTTCAAGAGCCTGCAGGGGATCGACCCGCATACCAAGGAGTACGTTGAGCGGCTGCGCGATGAGCCGGCCTTCTTGGCGTTGGCGGAGAGCGTCGAGAAGTACGTCGAGCGGATTGGGGACTCGCGTGCGGGGGCGCGCATTGCACTGCGCCGTGTAGAGCACGTATACTACAAGCACACGGACGTTTACGCAGCCATGCGCAAGCTCGCAGAGGCGCAGTCGGACGACATTGAGGGCGCGGAGGACAAGGACGACGCGGACGAGGCTGCTGAGGTCAGCGGGGAGGGAGCGGAGGACGGCGCAGAGAAGGAGAAGAAAGCGAAGGCGCAGAAGCCGCAGGAGGACTTTGTGAAGACGCCCCCGATTGTGCCGCGCAAGGCGAGCTTCCCGGACACGGTGCGCGAGCTGCTGGACGAGCTTGTGGGCAAGATCTACCGGTATGGTGACGAACGGACCAAGGCGCGTGCCATGCTGTGCGACATCTACAACCACGCCATCGTGGACGAGTACTACGTCGCCAGGGACCTCCTGCTCATGAGCCACCTCCAGGTAACGAGCCGCAAGCACGGCTCAGCATGCGATCAAATCACTCTTTGTCCTGTAGAACTTGGTGTGAGACCTTGTATCTCGGTTTCTGGAGGCTCCGAACTAAGTGTGTCAACAAACTCAAGCTTCGAAGTCGGGTCAGAGAGTCTTCGCCTTCGTACATTGATCGCATGGGCAGTATGAGTGACTTTCTGCAGCTGGATACAACAACGTTCTGCGCTTTGAATGTCGCTGAGTCTTTGGACAGTCCTTGTGCATGGATTGTCAATGCTTGATTACAGTGCTTGGAGCGAGGATTGCTCATTTTTCGCCACTGACCCGTCGATTGGTGCGTGCGGTGCAGGACAACGTGAACAACATGGACATAAGCACCCAGATCCTGTTCAACCGCACCATCGCCCAGCTGGGGCTCACTGCGTTCCGCAAGGGCCTCATCAGCGATGCCCACAGCTGCCTGGCGGACCTCTATGCCGGGGGCCGCGTCAAGGAGCTGCTGGCGCAGGGCGTCGCGCAGAGCCGCTGGCACGAGAAGAACCCGGAGCAGGTGAGCAACAGGCCAGCCGGCTGAGCTGACTTCGTGTTGAATTGCAGCAACGCCCGCAGCTGGAGGAGGTGGTGAATCAAAGTGATTGTTTCTGCCAATGCTTGCCCAACGAAAACGCTCGTTGTCGTTGGAGTCGACGTACTTCGAAGTCCCACCATAATTGACAGGTTGCAGGGATTGTGCCTAGTTTCAGAGTCTGTTGCTGGTCGTTGCGCTGTCCCTGTCAATTCAACGGTTGCACGCTTTGCTGGGCCGGCACTGCGATCCTCGTTCTGTGTTCTGACCGCGCGCGCGTGGCGGGTGGTGCAGGAGAAGCTGGAGCGGCGGCGGCAGATGCCGTTCCACATGCACATCAACCTGGAGCTGCTGGAGGCGGTGCACCTGCTGTCCGCCATGCTGCTGGAGGTGCCGTCGATGGCCGCCAACGCGAGCAACCCCAAGAAGAAGCTCATCAGCAAGCCCTTCCAGCGCCTCCTCGACAACTACGAGCGCCAGACCTTCACCGGGCCGCCCGAGAACGTGCGCGACCACGTCATGGCCGCCACGCGCGCACTACGCGCCGGCAACTGGCAGAAGGCCGTTGAGGTCGTCAACGCACTGGAGGTGAGCGCCAACGCCAGTCGCCGCAGAGGGCCTTGCTCAAGATGAAGGACGAAGCCCGCTCGAGTCGTTCTTTCCATATGCTGAAGAAGCTAGGACCTTAAAAAGGGTATGCCTCGGGCTGGCAAATCTTCCGGTTCTTCCATTGTCAGGCATTGAGGAAACTGGACTTGGGCCCTCTGACCGTGTCAGCTGAAGGTTGCTGTGCCGCGCCTGTGTTGCAGGTGTGGAAGATTGTCCCTCAGCGCGAGGCGGTGCTGGCCATGCTGGGCAGCAAGATCCAGGAGGAGGGCCTGCGCACCTTCCTCTTCTCCTTCGCGTCCCACTACGAGAGCATCAGCATCGACCAGCTCGTCAAGGTGCGCCGCAGCCCACCCTGGCGGAAGCCCTCCCCTGCCAGCCTGCCTGGATTTCATTGTCTACCTGCGATCTGGTCTTAAAACAGGTCGCTTGGGTGTCCGTACTGCATGGACCTCCCTTTGCCTGCACTGCTCGTTCAGATAGTGTTGCGGGTTACTTCAAGTTCAGATAGTATTGCGGGTTACTTCAAAAGGTCTCCTTGCAATCTGTTTGACCGTTGCTCGTGCGGTATGGTGCTGTGCAGCTGTTCGAGCTGCCCGAGAAGTCGGTGCACAGCGCCGTGAGCCGCATGATCGTGACTGACGAGTTCCCCGCGAGCTGGGACCAGCCCACGCGCTGCCTGCTGCTGCACAACGTCCAGCCCACCCGGCTGCAGGCGCTCGCCACGCAATACGCAGAGAAGCTCCAGGTGCGCGTCACAGCCTCGCCGCCCGTCCATGCAATTGCCTCCTTGATGCTGGTGGACTCCGCACATGAGGGGCACGATGGCACGCCCTCTCATGCTGGAAAGTTCTGCGGAAAGGGTGCTTGAGGATGGCGGACTGGGATGATGTCTGCCCCCTAGAGTGCATACCTTCTTCTTTTCATGCTGGTACGTTTGGTGCTTCTGGAGGATGTGTGCCCGACGTCTGCTCTCCAAGGACCCTTTCCTGACCTTCTTCCGCGGACTCTGCGGCAGGTGTTTGTGGACAGCAACGAGCGCGCGTTGGACCAGCGCACGGGCGGCGCGCTCACGGAAGGCGGGATCATGCCCGAGCGTGAGAGGCGGCAGCGGACGGATTTCGGAGGCATTGGCGGAGGCTTCGGGCGGGGCGGCTTCGGCGGGGGCGGCTTCGGCGGTGGAGGGGGAGGGCGCGGGTATGGCGGGCAAGGTGGCTACGGGGGACGAGGGGGGTCAGGCGGACGGTCGGGAGGGCGGTCAGGCGGGGGGTCCTCGAACTATGGCGGGGGCTCCTCGAACTATGGCGGGGGCTACGGCAACCAGAATAGGAGGCAGAGCCAGTCGTACGGATCTGGAGGGGGCAGCAGTGGCCGATTCCAAGAAGGGGGCTTCCACAAGTCGCCGTTTGCCAAGGCCCCTACATCAAATGAACCTGAGAGCCGCATGGTGACGTTTAGAAAAGGCTAGTCAGTAGCTCTTGTTGCACCTGTTCGGGATGTCCGCGTAATTCAGTGCCTTTGCTGTTGTAGTCCGCTGTTGGATCAGAAGGACAAGAGTCGCAAGAACAGGAACTTGCCAGTGGTTGCCTTCGAAGCCGCATGTTTTCAGTGCATACTTTAGGCCTGTGCCATTGAGGCGGCTATAGCCTTCCATGTTGTACTGTGTTCAACGTTTCCCATGCCTTCACAAAGTCTGCAAAGGATGACATTTGATCTGTCTATGGCAACCGTACTTGTAATTGAGTTGTGCACTGTCAAGCTGCGAGTTATTGAATTAACATGCGGCTATTCGAACCTTCATGAGCCAGCCCGTTATACAGCGTCCGATGTCAGTTTTGGCCCAGTGTAAGTAGACGGAACACTCTAAGGTTGAGAGCTGCATGAATGCCTTCTATAATTCGAATCGAGTTCGGGGACCATGCTCCGTGGCCGGATATGCAGCATGACAATTAAACATGGCACACCCAACCTAAAAAACCGGGCAATTTCGATGCTGACGTGGCATAACTTGCCGACGGTCGTCGAGATCGGGCAATTCAAACTGAGACTCGAATGGGGCGCACATTTTTGAACACTGGAAAGGGTAGCTACCTTACCCAAAAGGTGCACCAAACCTTCACCAAATCAAGCGGTGTCAAGCCTGTTCGGCCAGGAACAGGCCCCGCTGGGACGCGCTCCCTTTCTCAGCTGTTGAAACCGTCAAAAACAAGGCCTGGAGGCCCCAAAGCTCCCCTTGGCTTTTAGGAGCTATTCTTGGTGGTTTTGAGGGCTGATCGAATTGAAAGCCTGGCGCCTTTCTGCAAGGCCTCTATGTAGCGACTAAGCTCTTGACACCGCCACCGGAAAGCATGCTATGGGCATGCTCAGAGCTGAACAAGAGCCACATTTTAGGGCCGAATGTGTGCGCCCCATGACCGCAACTTGAATTTCACAAGTGACTAGTTCAAGTTATGGAATTAGCCTGCACTGCCGGCCCATATATGTACCGGTCGGGTGGTGGTTTAAAGCGCGCATACTGCCTGCACATCAACTCGTCGAAAGCATGGTGCACGAGCATGGTCATACAATGACATGGTTGTGAGTGTCTGGCAGCATATGGAAAAAGTGCAACAATCTGCACATTACTATTAGGTGCCAGACCGTCAACCATGCGTATGCGGGCATCGAGCAAAGCCAGCGCGACGTTCTAAACAGCCTACTATCAGCTATAGATCTTCGCATACCTTCTGAATGTTTCGTGCCCTGCAGCATCAGTTGACTCCAACACAAGCGTTGCGTTTATCTGCTGGTGTACTCAATCAATGCGTGCTGCAACATGTAACACCATGCCAATCAAAACCGATGACCAACGCTGTCAAGATGCGCTGGCATGCTCACATGCACGATGGGCCCGAGTACTGGTGCAAGGGGCCCACCATATCTTTCATTAGAATATTTCAAATAGTGGCACTAACCCAGCAGACTGAGTAAGAGCAAGGAGCCATGACGAAGAGCGCCATTTGGGCTTACGTCCAACGTGCTCAAATCCACAGCCTTTGACAAGGCACCACACATTGTCTTGCGTTAAGTCAGTATCGGCCTCTGCCCCCCCTCCCTCGCCCTCTGTTGCCCCGTCCTCCTCTCCCTCCCCGGGTCTCTCCCGCTGCATATGTTTGACCGCCTCTGCCTCCGCCTCCGGTTCCTGCTCCACCCCGGCCACGGCCCCTTTGCGCGCCGTTTTGGGCTCCCCTTCCGGCTGTGTTTGATTCGGTCGCCGGCCGCTTTCCTGGCGCCCCGGAAACAGCTTCGCCGGCTCGCTTTGCACCACTGTAAGAGATGGAAGTTATTGTTGGCCTGTTGGGCTACCATGCCGCAATAAGCTCGAAGCTCAACAACGGCGTTGATGGCTATTGTCCTGTGCAGCGTGTCTTCTGACAAAGAACGGACCCAAGCTCACCTGGCGGGGGCAGGCGCTTCGTGCCATGAGAGCACCCACGGTTGGGAGATGAACTTGGGGGTACGCGCGTGAAGGGGCTTGGTGAGGGCGATGACGGTCTTGAGGCTCCGCAAGCTGGCCTCCTGCTCCTTGCTCTGGGCGTCCTGTTGGAGTAGAGGGCCGGGTTAAAGCCGCATACGGGCCCAAATCATGCGGGCTGCGTCGAAAAACTGCTCAGAAAACACTTGCGCCCCATGATATGTGGCTTAATGTTGCGATGATGCACTCCCTGGCTTTCCAGGCACCAGGTTTGGACGCCCAATGCAGTACACTCTCCACGGCGTTATTCGTACTGCAACTTCGAGGGTCGCGCCGGGCGTGGCCTTACGAGGTCCTTTTTGGCGGCCGCGTCCTTGGCTTCCTTGGCCTCCTTGCTCGTCTTCTGCGCCGCATCCGTCTGCGCCTTCTGCTGCTTCTTGGTGCGCTCCTCCAGCACGGCCAGCCGCTCCGTGAACTCGGTGTACTGCGGCGTGAAGTCCTCGTTCAGCCGGTCCGACGGCTGGCCCGTCACCATCTTGTACCCGCACAGCGGGTTGGTCGCGTTCGGCACCTGCCAACGCCCAAACCGCACCGCTCAGCTCAGTCCCGTGCAGAGACGAAGAGACGATCGCCTACACCATTGAAGCAGCACGTTGAGAGATTGGACGTACGACAAGGGCTCTATTTGGGCCGAACCGACTTTTCGATCCGGGCAGTTGGCTCAGCGCGACAGATAGTGAGTGCGGCATGGGCGTGACCCAGGGGAGGCGTCACCTTGTTGGCCAGCTGGTGGAATGTGAAGAGGAGCGCTTCCACGGACGTGAAGTACTGTCGGTCCTCTGTCACGGAGGCCGTGTCCTTCCGCCGCGGCAACAACTTCTGCACCAAAACACAGCCCAGCCACAGTCATGTTTCCTTCCAAACCACCCAAGCCAAACCTCTCGGCATCTGCATCTCGGCATCTGCAACTCGAGCGATTAAAAAAGCTGGCGCTGTGGACTCAACCTTCGAGTTCCTTCAGCTGATGTTCCCCACTGCGCGAGGATGCGGTGCAAGCAGAGGCGTGCCATCCAGGTGCGAGGCGTACCTTGATGACGTCGAGCAGGACCGGCAGCGCTGTCCGGGCGTCAGAGCCCGAGACGTACACGGACGTCTCAGCCAAGGCCTTCAAGAAGGAAAGCTGGCTCGTGGCTAACATCTGCATCCGGGAAGAGCCGGCCGTCAGCCGTTGCCATGACGAGAAGAGCTGCATATAAAGCCATGCCATTCAAGGGACGGCGGCTGCCCCGCTACCTGCGGCTTCCACCACCTTCTTCCCGGCCCCAAGGGTCACTCCAATGGCAAGAACGGGGACCGAGCGGGTGCAAGTGTGAGGGGGGCGGTCACCTTGTCGAAGCTGGGCAGGACTGCCCGGGTCAGCTGGTGGACCAGGGAGGAGCTCGTGCCACCGGCCTGCACAGCGAGGCAGAGCCACACATAGTCAGGAATGCTGGCCATCAGTGCAAGAAGGCCTTCCATTCTGACGTGTCCACAAATAGGAGTACTGCCAAGGTACGGCATGAGCACGCAGAACTTCGTAGTTTGTGTTGCAGGTAGCTACCTTGAAGAGTGGCACAGCGGCGCTCGTGAACGCAATCAGGTTCTGAAGGGCCTCCTCGTCAGACACCTGCACCAAGCAAAGCGGGAAACATTAAAACGAGGCGTCCTGGGAACATTCTGAGGGAGGTGATCTCAAAAGCCCTTTGCGAGCCAACATGCTTATCATACCAGAACGTCAGCGCTGCTGAGGTAGAGCCAGTTGTGCGTTCGAAAGACACGAGGCCGTCACATATGGAGGCCAGGAAAGAATTGGACTCGACAACAACTGCCCGTTCAAGAAGACACTGGGGCGGCGCCGTTGGCTGGCTCACATCGATGTTGTCTTGCTGCCCCGCTCTCTTGGCCACTGCATCCAGTAGGGATTGCACGTGGTCCTTCCCGGCAGGCTGCGAGTACAGGTCCAGCGACAGCAACAGCTCCAAAAAGTCGCGCACCTCACCAGGGGTGGCGGTCGACAGGGCCTGCAACGCAAGAACAAAGGATGCATCAAATGACCAGAATACGAAGCCGAGTTCGGATGCTTTACATAGATTTCGTCGCCTGTTGTGTACATTCCTAGTGCTTGAACACCGAAACCAAGACCTCCATGCACCTTGGCTACTTCGCAGGATCGGCATCGCCTGCTTGTCTTTCCCCTTGCCTGACTTTGCCTGCCAAGCAAGCGGAGGGAGCCAAGTGGCAATTTGATGGTGCCCACCTGCGTGACCAGGTCGGAGATCGTTTTCTCAAGCTCCGCCTTGTTGGCTGCCTTCATCCACTCCTGGCGGGTGGAGAACACCTGCACACACGTGGCAGCAGCTCAGAGCATATCACCGCAGCAACGCTTGCAACTGGACCCCACAGCCAACAGTGTGCACCACGATGAAGCCTCGGTCAGCCATACTCCGCACCAATGAGAGCCAGCGCGTGCATCAGAGAAGTTGCTGCCCACCTTGTCCTTGAGGAACTGGTGCACCAGTACCTTGAGCTCCGGTTCAGCCGAGTCCAGGTTCTGAAAAATGGCCTCCAGGGTCGCTGCATACACAGCTCCAGCAATCAATTGCAGCACGCAGAGGACCGCCAGAAAGGAAGAGTAGCCACAGATTTTGCAGGTTGAAAATGTGTATAAAACAACCCATTCCATGTGGTGAGACTTGTGGAAAAGTGACATTCTTAAAGAGTGGGCGTCGCTCACTCTTTGCATCCAGGCGGAGGATCGTCATCAGCGCCTTCTTGACGGCCTCCAACTCCAAGGCCTCACCTGCACAGTAGCGAGGCAGGGGTCGCAAGGGGCAACCAGACGAGCTGGGTTCACCAACACCTGTCTGATCAAACACTCCAAGTTCGTGTGAGAGTGATGACCAACGAGAAGAATGAAGCAATCAAAACAAATCCAATCAACACTGATTGCACGCATCGGTCATTCTGAAGATGAACCATCAGCGAGGGCGTCCAACGATTGGTGGTAGTGTGCCCTCACTGGCTTGCAGGAGCTGAGTCAGGATGTCGGCGGACTTCTGCAGATACTCGGGGACATCTTTGGCAATCTGGGGCAAACCACGGATGGCTTGCACGCGCACCTGCGAACACCGAATAGATCTTTCAGGACTTGGTGTAGAAACTTGAGAAGTCAAGTTGGAGCAGCGAATGCTTTCATCAGCAGAGACTTAAATGCAGCCTGATTCAAAAACTCTGTATATCAGTACGTGTGGTATGTGCAAAGTTGCAGAAAGTGGGGGTGGTTGAGGTGAGTATGTGCAAAGTTGCCAGAGTTCCCTCACATGCCCGTAACCCGCTGCTTTACTTTTTCTCACCGCAAACTCCTCATCCTCACACAGGTCGAGCTGTGCGCTCATTGCCTGCAGCTGCACCCCCGGGAAGGACTTGAAGAATTTGGGGATGAACTGGGCCGCCAGCTGCTTGGTTTTGCTGTCCCCCTGGGCAGCACTCACAATGAGGCGGTAGTCCGCCTCCAGCTGCACCACCAATGCACGCATGAGGGCTGCCCTCGCTGCTTTATTAAAGCGTCTGGCAGATAAGTCCGACCCATAAGACCTTGATGTTGTCAGACAGCAACAAACAACTTTCACAACTCACCTTGCTGGCATCATCTTTCAATTCAGTCAACTTCTGGCCCGCTTCATACAGCTGCTCCACCGTGGGTACGTCCGCCATGACTTGAGGGGAACCTTGACAACCTGTCTGAGAATTCTACAATCCGCTCTATGTCTCCTCAACAATCACTGGCACTCATGACTTGCTGATGCCAATGGCTGTTGCTCCTTTTTGCCGCTAAATTGACTTTGCACACAGTACCCGAACTAGAAGCTTCTGCAAACTGCAGACTGCAGTGGAACTAGCAGAGCATGCGCCTTGTTCAGTGCCAGCTACACAAGCTTTAAATTTTAATTCGCCCTTTTGAGGAGTTCCGGCGAAAGGCTGATTGACCGGAAGTGCTTTTGGGCATACCCGTACGACCAAGGTATGATTCCAAATGCTCAAAAAAGGCGACTATTTTAGCGAATGCGAGCCCAAATGATGTATTATTTTCCACTTTCCGACCCCAAATCCGAATTGCCCGGAGGTACCCAGGTACCCATGTTTTCTAGGCTTTTAACGGTAAAAAGTACGTACCGTATGCTCATACGGCCTTAGAAGTCAGTTTCCGAATGAGATTTAGCAATTATTTTTGGTTTCCGAAAAAGCAGAATCCGACTGCTTATCCGGAGTTTCCAACTTTCCGAATGCAAATAATTATTTATTTATTCGGAATCATACCTTGGTCGTACGGGTATGGCCTGAACGGGCCCCGGCAGGCGGCTTTTTCCGCCGGAACCCCTGGCAATACAGTATTCAGAAACTGAGACCGTCTCAGACTGTCACTCAGTCTCAGAGCTGTGCCATTGCTAAGGCATTGCTCCTGCGCCAAGAAAGTGCGGGCATCCCGGGCCGATCCAAGCCGCGACGAGCGCGACGCCCTGGCCGCCTTCGCTTCCACTGCACCTGCTGCATCACCGCATTCAGTTCTGACCTCGCTGATAAGATCTCATGACCTTGCATTTCGATGGCAGAACAGGAAAGAAACGGCAAAGAGATTGTGCCTGTCCACACTGCAAAAGATGGTGAGGGTGGTGACGGAAAGGCCCTTGTTGTCGGCGGCAGCATTGGGCAAATCCGGGTGGGCCCACGGATGCCAGGAGACACTGTCAGCTTTGAGGAGAAGCTGCGCAAGATCACAGAGGAGGTCCCTGCCAAAGTCAGCAACGTGTCGGGCAGTTCTGCGGGCGCTGGAAGCGGTGACTTTCATCAGGCAAGGGCCCGATTGTCCAGCGAATCACAGCGCTTACTACACTTTTGACTTCAAGCTTTGCTGATTGACCAGCGCCTTCTATCCTTTATTACTAGCCCCAGAACTCAAGGGTGAAGAAAGGAAACAATGGTCTAGTCAGTAATTGGTCGAAGTTGCCAAGTTTTTTTTCTCTTTTCGCTAATACCAACAACCACATATTGAAATCTTTATTTCAGCTCTGTTTCTTCCCAAGCGCTACTTCCCCACTAGCCACCAACTCCTACTGCCCGCTTTCACAATAGACTGCCCTTCAGTAAGGGGTCAAGCGGCACGCTTCTCTGGTATTCAGTGCCCTGCAGCTCATCCCTGATTGCTGTCTTGCTTCACCTTGTGACAGTATCGAGCGATGCGACGGTGGGAGCAGGACCGTCTTGCAAGAATGGAGGAAGACTTCAAGAAGAAGGTGGCAGAAGCAGAGTTTGAGAAACGAAGACTAGAGAGATTAGCTGCCGCGGAAGAAAGAACATCTAAGAAGAGGGCAAAACGGCAAAAGTTGAAAGACAAGAAAAAAAGCAGAAGGAATGGGGCAGGAGATGGAACAACACAAGGGGGGCAAGATGAGGGGCAGAGCGATGATGGTAGTGAAGAGAATGAACATGTAGAAAGAGTTCAGGAACTTCAAAAACAATTGGATTAGAATATCATACCTGAAGAGGATCAGAGAGGTTGTAACATATTAGGCTAAGACTGTTCTAAAAAGAACTCAGTGAGTTGTTCGGAGCCGGCTCTCGAAGATCTGCACTGTCTTAAGTTAGATGGCCTAGGCATGGTTACTATGTGGTTACTATCAAAAGTACATGCATGTGCAATGATGATCGTTCCAGATGATCGATACAACTGAAATTGCTCGCTGCATTTTTTGATTCTCCTTGCAATCAGACGTATATGACTGAATATACGCATTCAGTTCCATGCACACGTACCCGGCAGGCTACTCGGACGGTACATGGGTGCCACTGCATCCTTATCTCAGCTCTTAAGATAGACCGTCGCGCATGGCCAGCTTCTTACGCGCTAGAGAGTATTATGATATCGGCCCCATGCCTCGTGCAAGGGCATCATAATAAGAAGTATCCATGCGTGCAGTATGCAGTCGCTGCATAATGGCAATGACCCGATCGCTGCTGCAGGCCACATGATAGGTGGCGACTTACTTTCAGCCAGATTACATACTAAGAGCAGGCCCGACTTATTGAGACGTTGTTGTGTAAGAGCACACCGTCCCCTATGGCACTTGCAAGCCAACTGCCCCTACAGGATGCGGGCAGCTCCTGCTAGTCAAGTTCACATTGGAGGCACAAGGAACAGCCTTGAAAGTGCATCACGAATACCAGGTAGCTCAAACATGTACATTGCCAGAACCTGTCCGTCCAGGGGCGCCCTTGTGTCATCTGCCTCTTCCCTTGATCTGCCACACCTCGTCGGAGCTCGCCTTCTCGGCTCCTCTCAAGGCGCCCCCTCGTCCTTTGCCCCTCTCCTTACTCCGCTCGCTATGTACGCTCATCTTGGCAAGCGGCTCCCGCGGAAGCGGATGCGGCCGGGCCAAGTGCAATCGCGGGTGCCCATCCCCACGCGCGCGCCCCTCTTTGCTAGACCGGCCCGTCTCTTGCTTGCCACAGCGGCTGCCTGCGGAGCTGCCCGCAGCTGTTCGCTCAACCGACTCCTGGTTGTCGTGCCGCTTCTTCTGCCGCTGCCGCTGCCGGCTCTGGCGGGAGGCCTGCACGCGCCGCTCGATCTCCAAGGCCTGCCCATGCGCCCCGGAAAACGGCTCGGCTTTAGTCGACGGCGGACAGTCCAAGCAACAAAAGGGATTTCACACGCAGAAAGCAGGATGCCCTGTCATGCTTGGATCCCATGTCGTTCTTGACCGTGAGCCTTCAGAACGTTTGCAGTGCTCAGCAGATTGCAACGGATCGCAGAACTAAGCAATCGCTGAACACGACTCCGCCCGCTCGAGGCGTTTGAGACTCGGAGCTTACAGCCGTACCCATACGCTGTCGCTGCGAGTCGCCTGCACTGCCCCTCACCTGGGAGAAGTCCCACACTCTGAGCACGTGCGACGGCCCCTCCCCCCCCGCGACCAGGCGCACCCCGTCCAGGTCCACGCACAGCGCGGCTGTCGCAAAGGCCCCCAGCCTCCGGCTCACGGCACCCGTCTCGGGCCCGCCGGACGGCCCTGCTGGCGCCCGGTGCCGGGGACCCGGGGCATGGCCAGGCCCGCGGCGTGGCCCGTGAATGTACCCCCGGGCATCCAGCATGCTCAGCTGGGCGTCGCTGGAGGCGGCCACCTGCGACCGGACGACCGAGTGAGAAGCTGAATCCAACTTCAAACATGCAAAGGGTAGAAACTTTTCACAAGAGGTGCGGCACTCCAGTAACCCCTGTTGTGACGATCACAGAGGGACACTGGACCACTGCGCTCGATTTTACGAAACCAGATCCGAAGCTTTTAGACTACGTCTAGATGAGCACCGAGAGGGTCGAGGTGTTGTCTATTATGGTTAAGGAGTCAGATTTTAGACCGCTACGCCATGACAGCAGCCCCAATCGCCGTGCCGTTTGTGTCATATTTTCGTCGCAGGCTGAGAGAGAGCTCAATCCAAAAGCACAGTGAACAAGTCCGTTTCCTGAACTGCTGCCCATCTGACGTGGCTTTGCGATTTGTTTCGCCAGTTGATTGACGTCTAATGTCGATGGTGAAAGCTTTGTTCTACACTGTGTCCAGCAAGACGGCCGGGAAAGGTTGGGTTTTTGAGGCCCCTCACCAGCCACGGGTCTTCGAAAGCGAGCGCATTGATGGCCGCCGCATGCGGCCGCCAGGCCACCACCGCCTCCTCCGCCCCGCTTTCATTACCCTTCCTGCTCGGCAGCCTCTCGTCGAAGAGGCGCACGGCGCCGTCGTCGCCTGCCGTGAAGGTGAAGTGGCCCGACCGCGTGCCCTGCACCGCGTGCGCCTGCCCGTGCACGCGCCGCCGCAGCGTGAGCAGGCGCCCCGTCTCGACGTCCCAGCGGTACAGGTCCGGGCCGGCCGTGCTCAACAGTGTGCCACGCCGCACCACCAGGGCCCACACCCAGTCCCGGTGCGTGAATACGCGCAGGACCGAGTCGGAGGAGGCGTCAGTGGCCCACACCTGAGGGGCAGGGACAACAGGTCAGCAGGGTGGTCGAGGCGAGAACAGGAAATGTTAGCTTGCGTGCCGCGTCTCGACCTTCAGACCTGCTCTACGATGCTGATACGGGGCTTGAGTTTCCGTTGCCCATGATGCGAAGGCCAATCACGGGAACGACATTTTGCGCCGCAGGAAACAGCTTCAATTCTCAGGGGGATGTCCGTGTCGACCTCGGGCCCGGAAACTGGCCGGGTGCTGGCCTAGCAAGCGTGTATGTCTCGTATCGGTGCAACAAACCACAACATGGCGGAGGGGCATCGACGAAGTCAGACATCTGTTGTTGCTTTCGACGATCTTGGGTGTCGCGCCTTCTACAGGTGCTCCAATCGAGTGTGGGGAGGCCTGGTGGCCCGCACCTTGGCTGTCATGTCCCAGGACCCGCTGTAGAGGCGCCCCTCCTCCAGCGCTAGGCACGACACCGGCCCTCCGTGGCCCCACCACCTGTCCGGGCTGCTAAAGCTGCTCTCGGAGCCCAGGCTGACCTGCCCGCCCAGGTCAAACAGGTGCGAGCACGCATTGGAGGCGTGCCACACGCGGAGGGCCCCGTCGCTGGTGCCGGCAGCGAGCGAATCGTGATCGATTGCCACTGACCGCACCTGTTAGACAGGAAACCAAAGTCACCTGGATTGCTGTGGTAATAAGTAAGCAAACAACTAGAGAAGGCGAAGGAAAACCTCGCCCAACATATCGTGTAAGAAGCGGAGTGAGCCACTCAAATTGCACCTAGTCGAACTGTTCAGCAGTTTGTCTCGTTTTTCGCTTAAAAAGCCACCTGGGCCGGCTCCTTCGTTTCAAATGCACCACTCTCAACCGAAACAGTAAGGGAGCCCTCACCGTCTCGTCCAGCGGCGCCGTCATGGCGAGCGGCATGCCCGTGTCCAGGTCCCAGAGGCGCACCGATCGATCGTAGCCGCCCGAAGCCACGATGGGGCTCCCAGGCAGGATTTTGACGCAGCGGGCAGAGGCCGTGTGGCCGTGAAGCAAGTCCGCGCGGAAGGTGCCGATCAAGGAACTCGAGCGCACCTCGCGCTCCACGTACAGCTCCTTCCACGACCGCCCATGCGGGGCGACATGCGCCTCTGCAGGAGACAAGAGATGTCAGTCTCGACGGCGCAGAACACTGACCAGGTTGTGAAGGCAAGGCATATGATTGGGGACCTCAACGCACTTGGCGTTCCGATGACTGGCTCACAAGAAAACCACAAAAAGAGCACCAAGAGAACAGCCGTGATCCCAACGCCTGGAAGCGAGAGTGTCATAAGTTGCAATGCCATGCACCTTCCTCCATCTCAGACAAAGGCACTACTGAGCTGACTTCCCAAGGGCAGGGTCGTCGAGGCCTGACCCTCACCTGCCCCCTCCGCAGGCGGCCCCTGGAGCGGGTGCGCGGGGCGCCACCTCTCGCAGTAGAAGTTCTTCCAGCCCTGGCTCTCTGCAGCCAGGCCGCGGAACAAGCGGGACACACAGGCCACGACCGAGAGGTCATGCGCGCGCAGGTGCGACAGGACCTCCAGCAGCAGGGCGGGGGGCAGATCGGCCAGGAGCAGGGGGGGCGCCTCCGACGTTCCATCATGGTGCGGGGAGCCCGCCTTGTGGACATCCAGGGCTGGGAGGCTGGAGCCTAAGCGAGAATGCTGAGGGCAATCCAGAACCGGATCGCCCCCCTGATGTGAAATGGACTTTGAGCTAAGAGAAACGCGGGGCGAGGTAGCATCTTCCAAAGCGGGCAGGTCTGCCCCGCCCCTCGAGCGCAGCGTCAGGGAAGCACCCCTGGCTGTGGTTGACTCCTCCCCAGCTGCCAAGACAGGCATGGCGCCCTGAGACAGACCTGCCCCTGCCTGTCTTTGTGCTTTCTTAGAACAGCCAGCATCTGCACACTCCGCCAAGCTGGAGAGCCCTCCCTTGCGCTTCATTTCTGTACCTCGGCCCACTCCTACCACGCTCTTAGCGCCGGAGTCCTCCTGTCTGGCATGCCTTGCCCCACGAAGATGGGGGCCATCCCACGGCAGCCCCCGCTCTACCCAGGACTTGCCAGTCGCCTCCTCAGACGTCTCCGCAAGGTCTGGAGTGCACCCTGCAGCAACCACGGCTGCTTCATTGCTGAATTGGCCCCTCCTCGTCAGAATGCTGCCAGGTGCTCGCCCGGAAGCAGAATCCTTCTTCAGCACAGCCTGAACATGAGGATCTTCGTCCCAGGCTGAATCGGCAGCGCCATCAAATGTGTAATTGAGTTCCGACCGCCAGGCCATAAACTTGCACAGGAACGCGCCTTCGCTAGCTCCAAGGATGAGCAGAGAATTCTGGATCAGAGCTGCAACCGCAGCTGAGCAAAACAGCCTAGTACGACACTTCTGTCTTCTTCCTCACAATAGTGCCTTCTAGTGGTGGCGATAGAACCAAATCTTCCGCAGGGGCGTTGCGCTGATCACAACATGCAACATCCCAGCGCCAGAAACAAGTACCCCAGGCAACTACTAGTACTAGTACTACAAGGCTATAGTGCTATCAAGGCTAGGACGTTGTTTCGAATCCCATGGCCCATCATGGGCGGGCCGCGGCT